TCCTTAGATGGTACACACTGCTGCTGTTGTGTGTCAGTGGTGAAGTGAGTGACTACCAAAGGTGGTGGATGAGGTGCCATTCAAGTGAGTTGTTTTGTACTGGATGGTGTCAAGCTTCTTCAGTGTTGTTGGAGCTGCACTCATCTAGTTTTCTATCACACTCCTGATTTGTGCCTTGTAAATGGTGGATAGACACGGGAAGGACAAGGGGTAGAAGGATTCCCAGTTTCTGACCTACTTTTGTAGCCCAGAGTATTTATATGACTTGTTCTGTTTAGTTTCCAGTCAGTGGTAACCACCAAGCTGTTGGTAGTGGAGGATTCAGCAGTTGTAATGATATTGAACAAGGGGTGATGGTTAGTTTTTTTTCTAGTTAAAGATGGTCATTGCCTGGCAGTTGTTTGGCATAAATGTTACTTGCCACTTGTCATCCAAGTTATCCAGGTTGTGTTGCAATAGAGCAGGACTGCTTCAGTATTTAAGGATTGGAAATGGTTCCGAATATCGTGCAATCAGTGAACAGTCCCACTTTTCACCTTAAGATTGAGGGGACTTCTACTGGTTTCCACATTGGGCTATTTTTGGTCTTTTGGTGCTATGTGTCAGTTTTCTACATTGGCACACACAAATTAATGTCACAATGTGGAATATTTTGATTGTTGAGTTCTGCTTTAATTTGGGTTTTCACCTTGTTCAATTCTTTTTCCCTCATCCGCCATTCTTGCAGGATTGTCAGGCAATAAGCTTTTCCCAAGCAGACAGCTAACTACTGGGAAATGCATTGGCCTGAAACAACTTTACAGCCATTTGTTTCTTTCTCTGTTCCACATTTGGAGGTGTTGATTGGTGCTCTGCGTGGTTCCAGGGATACAGATAGCCTAAAAAAACCTTAGTTGCTTTTCTTGAGTTGCGATCCCAGTGTTTTTGAGAATAACACTCAACAGGACATTAGAATGTTGCAATGAGGACTAATACATATACGTCTTCTGCGATTTCTTTATGCTCAGTGGTCAGCAGCTCCATTTTGAGCTGGCTTCATTTTCCATTAGGTCCATGGACACTGAGGCTAAATTGTCGGAGCTCTCCCAGCCTTGGTGATTAATTACAAACATGGTGCCATGTCCACACTTTACAGGAGGAGGGAAGAAAATTGCTAAGAAGGAAAGTTTGGATTCTTTTGAAATGAGAAAGAAATCCCATGTCACATCTGTTTGTTTTCATAGAACTGAAATGATTGGGAAGCAACACTGATTAAATCATAAAGATCAGTTTTCCCTCTTCACAATATAAATTGTATGGTAAACATTTCAGTACACGCTCCTCGAGGGAGTTCAAGAATTCTTGTTATGCTGCTATTTAAATGTGGAACACAAAAAATAACAATGTGTTTCTTCTTTTTATGGACAGGAGAATTGCAGGAAATGGTTTCTGAGTTGGGCAGTTGAAATATCCTGTGTTTAAAATTTGAAAGAGGCCAGAAAGCTGCAGTGTTTTCTTAAGCCTTGCATTCAGATAGGACTTCCAAACTCATGCAATCATTTCCCCTCACCCGACCTTTTAAAAACGGGACTTTACGTTCAGGATTGCTTGATTTTTAAAAAAGCAGGCTGCAACTAACTTATTTTACTGAATTGAATTGAATTTACTGTCTTTCTAAACTGTTTTGTTTTAGACAACTACTATTGATTGCATGGGGGAGTTTGCCTGTGAGAATTCCCATGTGCGATATTGTGAAAGAGTTGGGTTAACCTGAGCATGTGATGAGAATTCCAATAAAACCAATGGTGCTGATCATATAGCTTGGGCACTTTTACATCAGTTATTTCTATTTTTTAGGTTGTGTGAGATGAATAATCTTGTCTTCCCTCCCTATTTTTCAATTCTTAAAACTAACTAGCTTCCTTGGGGTACCTGTGGAATTGATGCCCGTGATAATATAGCTCTATCACTCTGCTGTCCAGATAAGAAAGTTTATATTAATAATACCCATGCTCTGATGGTGAAACCACTGCAAATGTTCTTCAGTGCCAAGTATGAACAAAAAAATGTAATTCCACTGGACCGAAATAAAAACAAAACTTGCTAGAATGGTTCAAGGAGGACAAGTAGCATCTGTGGAGAATGAAAAAGTTAGCATTTCAGATCGATGATCTTTCACCAGAACCAGGAAAAAATTAAAGATGTGTTGACTCTATATCTACTGATGTTACTTTAGCTCCTACATATAATTGGCCCCAGTTGCTCAATTCAATCAATGCCCTCCTGTCTGTAGTCTCCACTCATAAAATAACTCGGCACAAATGCCCAGTCTCCTTACAGTGGGGTGCATTCCATAGAGAGAAGGATTTCAATCTTCATGAATCGACAGGATTGCAGACACACGAGAATGCAGATTTATGAATCTCAGTTGACTAAGAAGAAGTTTCTGGGAAGTAAAAGGACGGGGTTGATTGTTATTTGCAGACTTCATCAGCATTTGGGAGAATTTGGCATTGACTTGAGTCTAAATGTGAATAAGGCACCCTTCTATGACTGAGAGTGTGGTTGGAAGTTATTTTTGCACAACCCAGTTCTCTTTGCATCACTCGGTTTAGCAACTCCTTCCAGCCAGCATGACGTTTTACTGATGCACCTGTGCTGATCGTAGTTCAACTCCCTCATTATTAACTCTAGTTTGAGGAAATGTTGTGAGAGAAATTTATAATGAAAAAGTGAGACCAATGATAAACTCCTTAAATCTATCAGTGTGTTTATTTTTTAAGTGAAAATACTTCAAAATTTGCCATTTTTCAAGAGGAACAATTTTCACTGACCCTGACGTTTTGACCTGAACACCATCCACTTATCAGCCTGATGTGGAAATAGCACTGTTCCTTCACTGTCACTAGATCAAAATCCTGGAACTCCTTCCTTAATAGTGTAGAGATACACTAAGTGGACTGCAGCAGTTCACCACCATTTTCTCAAGGGCAACTAGGGACGAGCAACAAATGCTTGCGAAGCCAGCGACGCCCACACCCCCAAATCAATATAAAAAATAATTCAGCTAGTCCTCGCAGCCAGAGCCTGTATTACTATATTGCTTACATCATCAAATCTACCAACAAAGTAGTGGTCTTTATTGTGTTTTGGGTTTCCTGAACTTTTATGTGGCAAAAGATACTTTTTAATCTCAATATAATGGTGACACATCAGCTTTAAATGGGGCCACTAATGGTGGAGAGTGCAAGGTTTTGAAACTAACACTTCAGAATCATGTTCTGTGATTCTGTAACAATGGCTTGAATGGAATTGACTTAAAAAGTTTGAGTGCTGGGTGACACACTCTTACATCATAGTGGTTTCCTTATATTTCAATTGTAGATCCTTGAATATTTCCTGAAAACATTTGGAATAATTATTAGCCTTTTGAATTAATAACAGGCACTGGACTTGCTTTTACAGTAATTACAGAACTCCTGGTATGAGGCAGGTGTTGACTTTGCTTTCACCTGCAGCTGTCAGCCTGAACGTCTCAATCTGAAATGTGGCTAGTAAGCAAATTGCCCTGAGTATCTGACACACTAATGCATACTGACTGAGAAGTCAACTGTTATTTTTCTATATAGTACAGAGCTCAGAATGCTTTGTGTGGAAGAAAGATTGAGGACTCCTGTTCGAAGGAATATCGTTGTCAAAAAAAAAATACATAATGAACTTTTATTTTAAATCTGTTTGGGGAAAGAGAAAATCTGCACACCATTTTTCTCAGGGTTGTACCATATGTAGACTGGACTATTATACATTTTTATATGTTTCTAACACTGCATTTTTGTTTACATGCTCCATTTAGCTAGCACAGAGATGGTTAACGCGGTGAAAGATTTTCCTTGCTTCAAGATTTAGGTTTAGGTTTTATTGTCACATGTACCCAAGTAAAGGAATATAGCAGTACAGTGAAAAGTTTTCAAAGTCACCATTCTCCAGTGCCATCTTAGTAAGCAAAAGGCAGTATTAAAAACAGAAGCAGAAATTTAAAAAACAACAGCCAAAAGGAAAGGAAATGTCCAGATCACTCCATCGCCTCCACCACAAGTTCTTGCCGACAGAAAACAAAGCCATAAAATCTATCCCTCAGTCCATGAACACTCTGGTGTCCCGAGATCCTGCACACCACCACAGCCAAAAAGTCAGCTGGCTCTGCCGTCGGGTACCCGGGCACAGCCATGTCCTGGAGCCACACTGCCGTTGCTGGAACTGTGTAGCCATTCTTCGGAGGAGGAGAAATTGAGCTGAAGGATAATAGATATGGACTATTACTAGAGTCCATATTAATGGCGCAGCAGGGAGAAGCTGTGCTGAGTATTGTGTCAATCTATGGAGGCATAAAATTCCTCAGGTTGACAAATCAGGTTTTTTTTCAGGCAGATTAACAATTTTGTGTTACAGGTTGCTTTATTTTGACTGAGGGAGAAGGAAATTAGCAATGTTCTCTCTTCTGACCACAGTCTAGTAATGATTGTTAGAAAATGCGTCAGTCAGGGGAGTTGTTTTTGATTATAGGAAGGTCCTTGCACGTGAGGTAAGATGCTGGAATGTTGCAATACCTGAGGAACTGTACCAAAGTGAGGGTCACTACATTAAAGAAAAACTTGAGGAAGCTGCTGAAACTGCATTGCACCTAGTAACACCCAAAAATTTAAGAAAACTATTAATATATATGCTAAAGCTAATTTCAATGTTCATTTGTCTTATCAACCTACTGATCTTGGATTTCTCAGCAGCTTTTATGTGCAGCGTTTAGTTGATTTTTGTTCTTGTGAAGAAAAGTATTAAACTTGCATTGGTGCACCAACTTTCATGTCTATTGGGCATCTCAAGGTGCTTCCAAGCTAGATCAAGTACTTTTGAAGTGTTTGGTAGCCGGATAAAGTCTACAAACAGAAGTGACTAAATAGTACATGCAATTAAATGCTACATTACCTTGCATCTACAGCTAAGGTTTGTGTGCTTTCTTTTAGGAGGAATGGTCCAGGCATACGACCTTACACATGGCACTTAGCCAAGTCATCAGAGGCACAGCCTGAGGCCGCTATGATGCACTATTCATCAGGATGTTTCAGTTTGTCATGGCACTCAGGATATGACACCAGGTGAGTCTTATGGACTATTACTGGAAATGGTAATCAGCATTGTTATTGTGATAGGAATGAGTATGTGAAAAGGAAACAGTTAAGCTATTTGCTAAATACATCACAAAGTACCTCAGAGCAACACAGACCGGAAATTAACCAACTCAAATCCTGCTGTGAGTCAACCAATGCAAACTGGGGTGATAATTGCAGGGCTGCATAGTTTCAGTGCTCCTGAGCTAGGGAAGAGAAAATCAATAGGATTTCTGCTCCTCATTGGTAACTAATCACCTTTTCTGGGATCTGGCTGTAAATAAATTGGGGTTAGGAATGGATTAGATTCAACTCTGTCCACTCACGTGAAGAGCTGTCACTTGGAGGTATCATTGGCTAAACAGAGTTCACAATAAATCATCCCGTACAGGAATACAATAGAGAAAATGGGGATAAATGTTAAAACAAGTCTCGGAGTATAGGAATGCTGACTATCTAGCATTATTTTGTTTGGATGTTCATGGCTCACTGCTGGTTGTCTGTGCTGCTGGCCTAATAGGAATCATTTTATTAGTGTTAATTACACAAGGACCCTGTCACATACAACATCATGGAAACCTGTTTTGCTGAATGCTGAAGAAGCTGGCGTCAGCTGACAACTAAACTTCATTGCGTATTTTAATTTTTGTTTTAAACCACCATTTTCATGCTGTTTTTGAAAGGTCATGCAGAAGTAAAGGGAGAAGTTGGAAGAGAACATTACCGAGGTGTGGGGGTGGGGTGGCCTTTGATGATGTTGGCAGCCTTTCCACCACAACGAGAAGTGTAGATGGAGTTCATGGATGCACTCTAAGTGGCGAGTGCAATCAGGACAAATTCCACCTAGATGTTAGAGACTCTGTGGGTCACCAAATGACATTGAATTCTGTCTCCTTTACAAGGCATTCCAACCCTTTTACTTCTGAAGGTCTGGTTTGGACTGCCCGCAAAAATCTCTCCGACTCAAACTGCTTCAACAACTTCTCCCAGCTGGATATTTCGATCTTTTTGCCGGACACTGACTTCTCTAGAGCTTTTGATGTTGCTGGTAGTCTCTGGGTAATGGCACATTTCCAACTTTTATGAAACATCTAGTTTTACCCAGGTTCTGCTGAATTTCTCCTTGCTCCAGTCTTTCACAGTTATAAAAATCACAGTTGCTTGCAGGCTTTCTTCACCCATGCTCAGCTGCACTGAACTATCAGCAACATTCAGGCTTTTTTTTTTAGCCCTGACCTTTACTTCCATTCTGCAGGACTTCTCTTGAGCCATAACTATCTCGACTCTGCCAAAAATAGCAGTTGCATTGCCTGGAGCCACTTTTTCTGCTTCAGTACTCCGCCAGTTTCAAACTGCAACTACCTTCTCCAAGCAAACAGACACCCACATCCAATATGTTGAAACCAAAGATTCCCCTTAAGCTCCACCCTTCTCCATTATGATACAGCCTGCTCCAGGCTGTCCTTATCTGGACTTTTTGGGTTTACTGAATACTTTCAAGCTAATTTAGCTCCGTGCCCCTCTGGCCTAATGTTGAGTGCAAGCATTTCAGACATCAAGTAACCACTTGAGTAGGTACATCTGTTATTTATACAGCACCATCTCTTCCAATCTAATTTTGGTAAACAAACATGGGTAACCTTCTGAACTGTCTTTTGTCCCAGGTGTTGTGTAAATAGCTTGAGCACAGTATTTTAATTACTTTCCTAGCTATTAATCTTTTAAAACAATATCACCTCAACCTTTTAAATACATTGGATCAAGGTGTTTCAGTTACATTTATCCCATTTTCTACTGTTTATTTTTGCTTTTAGGAATTAACATCTATATATGGAAACACTTAGACCGTGAACTAGATGTTCAGAAAACTTTAGCACACCTTAAGCATATAATGTATTATAAACCTGCAGCCAGATAGCAGGAATGGTGGTAAAGACACTTGGGCAGTTCTAAATTGTGTGCTAAAACATATTTCAAAAGAATTGTGATTTCTATGGCATTTTAAAGTTTATCCGTGTTCTGTTGTTTCTTCTAGTGACTATCCTGCACAGTGGGATCAATTAGCTCTTCGTCGAAACACAGATCAGAGGAGTTCATTTGGAAGTATGGACAGTCTTGACCAACCCGGTCAAAACTGTGACCAAGGCACATATCCTAACAAAAGGGACTCTGCCTACAGCTCTTTTTCTGCAAGTTCTAATACCTCTGACTATACTTTGTCATCGTCAGTGAAGACTGATGAGTCAGCCTCCATGGACAGCATACTACACGGCTTAGGGCCATGGTTACCAACCAGGTATGGAGATGCCCAGTATCTTCAAAATGGAAGTGAAGGCAGGGAACGGCCAGTTGAAGAGCAGCCTTGTTCTCACTGTGGAAAAGGATCATCTGCAAGTGGCAACACGTTGTCATCCCATGCACATGAAGATAGTGCTTCAAGTTCTACCAAATCAGTACCTCCCCCACCGCCAGTTCGCAGAGAAAGTTTTGTGGCAGCCAAAGCTCGCTCTGCATCCCTGTGCATGACAAATTCTGAGGCACTTGCAGCAACAAACCTGCTGCTTCATTCCGGAAGGTGTGCTTCCGAAACATTGTTATCTACAAAAGATAAAGATTTTGAAGGACGGTATTTTGCCAGTGTTCCAAAGTGCTCTGTCGGTACTACCCTGCACTCCCGTAAACCAATCTCTGGTCATTGTCCAGTGGAATGTTGCTGCTTGTTAAGGCAACAACCAAGGCAACATTGCCATTCTCAGAGCCAAAGTGAAAAAAATATTTCGCATGAAAATACAACACTCTCTAGAAAAGCCAGTCGATATTTGATGGAGCAGTTGGACTTATACAATTTGATTGAGCCGTCATTTGTTACCAGTCACTATGTAAGCCTGGGTCAAGTGAAGCAGAACGAAAGGTCGCCTTTGAATTTGCATAGACACAGTGCACCCGAAAAGTTGTTAACAGCACAAATGCATTCGTTACCGATTGCAGTCTGTGGTAAAATTGATTTGAGATCACAGTGTCATCAGGAAAGTCATCAATGGGCCAATTGTGCATCAAAGCCTCAACAGGAACATCAGTCCAACATAGAGCATACTCATAAAGCTTTAAATAAAATTGGTTTTTCAGCAGAAGAGCAGATGGAAGAGAATTCCTTGAATCCTGAATCCATACCAAAACAGAAGCAACAAGAAATTGAAGTAGCCAATTGTGATCACTCTATGGATACTCAGCTACATTCTTCCCCTTGCAAGGGCGAGCCGAACAATGTAAGTTGTATAAGTGCTTCTCTCCAAACTGCAGCCCAGCAGCAAAACTCGCATTTGCCTCCAAGACCACCAGATCAAATGAGTGAGGGTCGAAGTGGCAATACTTTGGAAGATGAGACAGACATGGAAGAGGCAAAGAATGAAACTGACAGAAATACTCGAGTGTGCTGTTCTAGAGTAGCTAGGATGCGGCGCAAAAGTGACCGTTTTGCCACAAATTTGCGTAATGAAATACAAATGAAGAAAGCTCAGTTGCAGAAGAACAGGAGTGGAACTGTGCTGTTACAAATGGAAGAAGCTTCAGAAGAAATGGATGACTTGAGAGAGAAGCCATCCAATTCCTATACATGTATTGCTGGTGAGTCTGATTACGGTGGCTCAGCAGAAAAAGTTACAGACACAAAATCGCAGACCACAAATCCTAATAAAACTGTGGACAATTTGGAAGAGGTTCATAAAACAGGAAGTATGTATTTGTGTCCATTGACTGAAAACTCCCGTATTCCACAAAGCAGATGCAAAACAAGTTCATTATCCCAAGATATTGAGGAGCAGAAGACTGTGCAAGAAGTGATTGGAACTGGCCAGTGTAGATGGACGCCAGATGATGGATGGGAGTCGCAAAGTAAGGCAGTAAAGGACGTCAGCGTTGATGAGACAAAAACTTGTGTGGCAGCAGTGTCACAGGAACCAGATACATCTCCACTTGTGTCCTTTGCAGAGAGAAGAAAATTCTTTGAAGAGACTAGTAAAAATTTTTCTGCCGCTGATTCTTACAATTTTGTGAAACCTCAAAGCAAATCAAATACTTTAGGAAAATCTAAAGGGCAGAGTTTTTGCAACAAATTACATGCGCTCCCAAATGATCACCTGAGACAATCTGCGAAGGAAGTGTTCCAACATCCCTCCTGTAGAGTCAGTCAAGATTCTGGGCAAGATCCCGTATGTTCACCTAGAAATCTGGAGCAATCAATTCACCATGGACAAGAAAAGAAGTTGTATGAGCAGGAATGTGAACATTTAGAACCCCTCAAACTGAGTAAATCAAGCACTTTGAAAGACCATCGTATTTCTCATGTTCAGCAGGTGCAACATTCTGATCTAACTCCAACACTGCATTATCAGTATTTCCTTCCAGATAACAGTCACCTGGAAGATCCTCATCCCACCCTAAGGTCCAACCAGTCGCAACCTTCTTTTCCTGAGGTAGGATGTGTCTAAGTTTCCTACTTTGTTCATATGCTGCATTTTGTCACAGGTGCATTCCCTAGTGAGGCAAGACAACCTTGTTTGAGCTAACCAGATAACAGTGATCTCAGAGTAATCAGAAAGTGTCCAGAAGAAATAAATTGATCAAATCCTTCCCTTTCTCTTAGGAGGAGCATTCTTGTGTGCAGTCTCACCCTTCACTGCAGCTTGTGAAAGATCAGGGCCTCGTTGGGGTGGGTCAGGGGGCGGAACTGGTGGGAGAATAAGGGAAATATGGGCATGAACAAAGAAAGATCTCTTTGTGTAAGTAAAATCTACCTTGCCCATATAGATTGAATGAATATTATTCTTTTTAACGCTGTACCTGTTCATAACTGGAATATGAAGGCAGCACCCTAACTGCCAACTGATGTAATTTTATTTGGCACATGGCAAAGCTAACAGCATAACAAACACAAGCTTCTGGATATGTTAGACTGAATCTTACTTGGCCAGGCAAGGAAGGAATACTGAAAGTATCCAAATGGGCTGAATGAGTAAGTGCCATGACAGTAAAGGTTCGATTCCACCCTTGGGTGACTGTGTGGACTTTGCACATTCTCCCCGAGTCTGCGTGGGTTTCCTTCAGGTGCTGCTGTTTCCTTCCGCAGTCCAAAGATGTGCAGGTTAGGTGGAATGGCCATGCTAAATTGCCTGTAGTGTCCAGGGATGTTTAGGTTGGGTGGATTGACCATGGGAAATGCAGGGTTACAGGCATAGGTTTGGGGGAGGTGAGTCTGGGTGGTATGTTCTTCAGAGAGTCGGTGTGGACTTTTTGGGCTGAATGGCCTGTTTCCGCCCTGTGGGGATTCTCTGAAAGAAAAGCAAATTGCTATGAGTTCAGTAAAAAGATTAAAGGACATGAGACAGTGCAGGCAAATGGTGCTGAAGTGGAACTTCAGCCATGAACTGAATGGCAAGGTTAGCTCTAGAGGCCAAATGCCGTATTCTGCATTCCTCTCATTTATATGTTCTTCAGAGGGGTTTCCATTTTTAAATGAATAGACTTTTAAGCATTACTGGTGGAGCTTGTATGACAGATTTTTGTTCCTGATAAGGATAAGTATGTGAGAGAATCTCCCTGCTAACATGACTGCATCCGAACATTGCCCTGAATTGCAGGATCTTCACACCTGGGGAGCGGGTAGATGATGGAATCGCACATCCCTCCTCCCCGGTGCAGATCAGAGGTGGCCACAGGGGCTACTGAATGCTGAAATGGGATGTTTAAAAGGGCTCCTTCAGTTTTTTTGGTTCTTCTTTCTGGCTGTTTTATTAAAATATCTGTATGAGATCTCAACTCCCCACGACCACTCACCCATGACACATCCACACCAGCTCTTGCCTCCATTCAACCCCCACGATCCCGCATACCATCCATGCTGACTTATTACCCCCCCCACTAACAATAATTGCTTATCATGCCTGCAGTTTCAACTTAATAACACTTTACCCCCATCACTACAATCCACCAACTTCTGCTCTTATATTGCTGTTAAGATGAAATGAATTAAAGTTCTGAACTACACCCAGAGTTCTAAAGGAGATAGCTGAAGAGATAATGGAGGCGTTAGTGGTGACCTTTCAGGAATCGCTAGCATCAGGGAGGGTTCCAGTGGACTGGAAAATCGCTAACGTGACACCCCTGTTTAAAAAGGGAGTAAGGCAAAAGACTGAAAATTACAACCGAATAGCCTAACATCAGTCATAGGTAAGATTTTAGAGTCCATTGTGAAAGATGAGATTTCTGAATACTTGGAAGTGCATGGTAAAATAGAGCAAAATCAGCATGGCTTCATCAAAGGGAAGTCATCCCTGACAAATCTGTCAGAATTCTTTGAGGAAGTAACGAGCAGGTTAGACCAAACAGAGCCAATAGTTGTTATCTACCTGGACTTCAAGAAGGCCTTTGACAAGGTGCTGCACAGGAGGCCGCTGACTAAGATAAGGGCCCATGGTGTTAGAGGCAAGGTGCTAGCATGAATAGAAGACTGGCTGTCTGGAAGAAAGCAGAGAGTGGGGTTAAAAGGGTCTTTCTCAGGATGGCAGCCGGTGACCAGTGGTTTTCCATGAGGTTCAGTGTTGAGACCACAACTTTTCACTTTATACATTAATGATCTGGATGAAGGAACTGAGGGCATTCTGGCTAAGTTTGCAGACAACACAAAGATATGTAGAAGGACAAGTAGTATTGAGGCGGGGAGGCTGCAGAAGCATTTGGACAGGTTAGGAGAGTGGGCCAGATGGAGTACAATGTGGGAAGGTGTGAGGTCATGCACTTTGGTAAGAAGAATAGAAGCATGGACTATTTTCTAAGTGGGGAGAAAATTCAGAAGTCTGAAGTACAAAGAAACTTGGGAGTTGTGGTCCAGGATTGTCTCAAAGTAAACTTGCAGGTTGAGTCAGTAGTCAGGAAGGCAAATGCAACTTTGGCGTTTATTTTGAGGGGACTTGAATATAAAAGCAGGGATGTACTTCCAAGGCTCTCTAAGGCTCTGGTCAGGCCACATTTGGAGTATTGTGTGCAGTTTTGGGCCCCATATCTCAGGAAAGATGTACTGACCCTGGAGTGAGTTCAGAGGAGGTTCACGAGAATGGTCCCAGGAATGAAAAGCTTAACATATGAGCAATGTTTGAGGACTCTGGGTCTATATTCGATGGAGTGTAGAAGGATGAGGGGGGGATCTAATTGAAACTTACAGAACGGCCTGGACAAATTGGATGTTGGGAAGATGTTTCCATTGGTAGGAGAGACTGGGACCTGAGGGCACAGCCTTAGAGTAAAGGGAAAACCGTTTTTTAGAATGGAGATAAGGAGAAAGTTCTTCAGCCAGAGAGCGGTGAATCTGTGCAATTCACTGCCACAGAAGGCTGTGGAGGCCAGGTCATTGAGTACATTTAAGATGGAGATAGGTTCTTGATTGTCAAGGGGATCAAAGGTTATGGGGAGAAAGTGGGAGAATGGGGTTGAGAAACTTATCAGCCATGATTGAATGGCGGAGCAGATCCATGGACTGAATGGCCTAATTTCTGCTCCTATGTCTTATGGTCTTAAACTTTCAATATCGGCTTTGTTATAGGTTTTTAAAAAAAACCTGACGTTCATAAAAGCCCACTGAAAACATTTAGATCCCTGTTTAAAAGATGTATCTACACATCAAAGAGAACTAATCATTTACTAACTTCTTTGAGCTGTCTGTCAAGGTGTGAATTTATAGCTGCCTGTTGAAATAATGATTTGGTTGTGGAAATAAGCATTAGTAATGACATAATTGCCATGTGGGTAATGTCAACAACCAACTATTATAACTAGCAGAATAGAATTTTTCAAGTCTCAATGACAGAGGTAGTCTTTTCAAAAAATACTAAATAGATGAATATTTAAATAATGTCACAGCTTGAGTATTTTATAATCTGTCACTGACACAGACGTTCCAATTTAAAAAAAATCTTCCAGAACCAACACAAAGTGAGACCATCTTCCAATAATATCCTTACCCTATAATGAATGCCGCTGGTAAAATCCCCTGGATACTTTAGTTTGAGCTCTGTGATTACAATTTTCACCTTTGTTTTGAGTTTTTATAAAGTTAAATTTAAACAACTTTGCAGCTTGACAGTTCTTCAGACCTTGTCCATTCTTTGAGTTCTTTTGAGTATTATAAAAGTTTCTATCTCCCACTCTGGGTTTTGGTTAAGGTCCTTGCTACAGTGAAAATGGCATCTGTTTGAATGATGTTCAAGTGGCCTGCTGAGTTTGGATTTCCTGCCTGTGTTGGTCTCCACTCCAAGTAAATTCAGGTTATAGTGTCCCACTGTATCGAGAAAGCAAATTTATGGAGAAGTTAAGAGAAGACACTGACCGTATTCTTGTACTTAATAAGACTACTATTTATTGTGTTTAAGTACATTCTAATCACTATGAACTATCAATATATGGCTCTACCTGTTAAAACTCTTAACCCCCTTTTATATCCTGTATATACATAACCATTCAGACACAGACAAACCAAAAAGAATTATTTCATGGGTAGAGATAATAAAACTGAGAAACACCACTCAATAGCACCAGTCCACCTGGTTCATGAGTGGACCCCTTTGCTTGTTAATATATTCTGTTCAGTCTCCTTTCTCCTTCTTCACAGGAGGCATAAAGGGTTTAGCAGGTTAACTACAAAATCATTTGCTTACCTGTTAAAGACAACAGTTTATGGCAACTGATGGGAGAATACAACTTATATAATTTCTACAAGCTTCAGATATTTTCTCTACAGAGAGAGATGCACAGACATGCACTCCTTCTGGAAGATTGAAGACTTCTCCCCATGGATCATTGGAAATCATTGACACCAATGATTTCCAATGATCCACTGTCACATCTTCTGCTTCAAGAAAAGTCTTAGCAACATTTGAAGCCATTTGAAAATTCAAACCAAAGTGATTCGCTTCACAGCAATACCTGTTTCTATACCCAGTACCTTTTATATGCTATTTCTTTAAGTTTCACAGATCCGTCTAAATTCAAGGATTTTTGATCCTGGGTAAGTCCCACTCTGTGATCCTAGTTAATATTAATACTGAAAATGTCCGGTTGCATCCTGGCTTTATACAACCTAATTTTGTTGCCTATAGTTTTGTAACTGTAGGTCAGTCACTGAACATATTCGCAAGGGTATGTCATTGCATTTTTGAGAAAGAAAAAGTTTGTTAAACAACAAAAACACACAAACTACTTGCACTAGAAAATAAAGTAGGAAAAAAAGTCATTACAAACACTAAAAAATGATTCAAGCTCCCACTATTCCTTTTTATCCCAGCAATATCCTTACAAACAGCAAACACCCAGCAAAGATTTACCATAGTCTCGATACCAAGACTTTTTGCTCAGGCAGGGACAGCTGCAAATTGTTTCCCTTCAGTGAATTTCTGCATATTCAGGAGATGCTTTTTCCTCAGCT